CAGTCATGATGTAAGCTTGTACTTACCCTCACTTGCTAGTTGCAAGCATTGCTCATTCTCAGCTTGAACTACTATGCTGTCCCCCTTTTTATGTTCCATATCTTCCAAGTATTTGACAAGAAAATGAACACCGGGTTTTATTTGCGATGAATAGCACATGGTTTTGTTGAGCCCTGTGCTTTAAACTTTGAGAGGCCTAGTAAAAATCAGGTGGCCCTAATTTTGCTAATTTATTATAATTGTGAGTATCGTTACCCGTAAATTCAGCTAAAACTGAAAAATTGCAAGCCTTTCAAATGAGCCACATGTTCATCTTAATGAGTGATGTTTGTGGGGGTGGTTAGAATCCACCTTCCAACATGTTCAGAATGGCTGGTTTCTCTTAAGCATTTGGTGTCCTGTGATGACAACCCCTGCCGCGGGAAGTGTTTGACACCAAGTTGGTGCAGCTGCCTTGCGCCAGCGCAGATAGCATCTTGCCAAGTTATTAATAATTGAAGGCTCTTGTCACTTCCTGCTGAGTTTTGTATGTAATTTATGGATTATAAAGCCCATGCTGAAATCTCAGGGAAAGTTAATTTCATCAGATGAGAAAGAGATACATTTATATTTTAATTCTCACTCCCTGAAATTACATCTGTGTACGGGTTTTCACCTAAAAGTACTGTCAATGGGCATCAAAATCAAAAACAATATTGATTTTCGGCCTTTATCACAGTAAACTTTCCCCTTCGGGAGTGGCAGAGAGATATTCTAAATTCCTGCTTGCTGAGAACTGGCAGGGCCACCCTGGACAAGTTGGAGACTCTCGGAATTTCTGCTTGTCTGTGAGATGGTCAGGGCAGGCCAGTGTGCCAAGGGCTGGGTGGTGGACTCCCCATTGACTTGCCATGTGATTCCAGGTGGTGCTGGAGACTCTGCCCTCCAGAGCATCACATCAGGGAGTGGGGACTAATTCTCCTCTTCTTTCTCCTTTTAACTCCTGGAATGTCTTTAGGAAGAAAGCTCCCATTTGTCCTAACACCTCTGTAATGCTGCTCACCTCCCTGTTTAAGAAAGAGAGGGACAGCAGGGCTAGGTGGCTCAGCCTGTAATCCCGTGACTTTGGGAGGCTGAGGTGAGTGGATTGCCTGAGCCCGCGGGTTCGAGACCCACCTGGGCAG